CTACTGCTACTACTACTACAGCTACTACTGCTACTACTACTGCTTCTACCACTACTACTACTACTACTACTACTACTACTACTACTACCACTGCTACTGCTACTGCTACTGCTACTTGGTACTGCTACTGCGACTGCAGCTGCCGCTGCTACTGCTACTGCTATAGCTGCTGCTACTGCTACTGCTGATACTCCTCCGCTACCACTACTACTACGACGACGACTACTACTACTACTTCTACTACTGCTACTGCTACGGCTACGGCTACTGCTGCCGTCTGCTCCTACTTCCTCTGCCATCTCGCACGGGTACTTATACGAACGTGAGAGCCAGTACTAGTAGTAGTATTACGTAGTTTTAATATTCGCAGAAATTAGTAGTATCTGCAGCTGCACTACCATAAGAGGACGAGGAGGTAGAGGTGGAGGTGGTGGTAGGCGTATTGGAAGTGAGTTTGGTCGTGGCAGTAGCCACATTGTTCAATGAACTGCACTGTCTGCAAATTGTGCACTAATTCTGTGTGTGCACTCAAGTTAAATCGTTGTCGTTGTCACTACATTGCGCAGCACCCCACTTAGGGTTAATGCCTATGCCATTCCAACACCAAACCCTAAACCCTAAACCCCTAAACCGGACATGATATGGTGCAGGCTTCGGATGCGGATACGCAGAGAACGTTGACAATGAGTCTTGGCGATGCGCATGTTGCTAGGGGTCATCGTGCTTGCTTATTGCTGCTACTACGATGAGTTTGCACTACTACTAGCACTGGTACTACGACATGGTTCAGCAGCTACCCCACCGCTACTGCTGTTGATGCTTCCAGAGCTGTCTAATTGTTTATTGTTGTTTGTGTTTGCTGTTTATATTGAACTGATCTTGCCGTCGCTGTGTCTTTCAGCTGTTGCTGTTTTTGTTGCTGCTACTGAAGAGAAGCTCAGGATTACAAACTGTGCGAAACGCCTCCACGAAATGGTCAGCATCTTGACTCGTTGGTCCAAGACCTCTGGCAAGCAGGAAGCTCACCCTAAACCCTAAGCAGGAAGCTATAATTCGGAGCTTCTCGCGCAAGCAGGAAGTTGCTCAAGGTGTAGGAACCGCAGAGATTATTCTGAAAAGCCACAACCTCCCTAGTTCCCAGTAACCAGAGGCTGGTTTAGGCTTCAGGGTTTAGGGTTCAGGGGCTTTCTTACTGATGCCCCCCTCACCAATGGTAGTTCTACACTACTTCACGCATGAAGCTAAGCTCAGCCCCACAAGCACCCCAAACCCCTAAACCCTAAACCCCGACAAGCCTGCCCGAAGCGGACCTAACACCACACCAATCCCATTACTGGGTTTAGGGTTTAAGGTGGTCCTAGTTTCATTGTCATGGCAGTACAAACCTAAGGACCCAAGGAGTTATCATCGACCACATTCCCTTTGTTTTGGGCCGAGGGGGCTTATTGATGAAGCCCGCCCTACAGGTGGCCATAAACCCCACGCCGATTGAACCGCTATCAGCTGTCGCAATCCCCTATGCCCACCTACAGAACCCCAATGCCTTCAAACCCCTACAAGCAACTATACAGCCACAAAAACCTGCTGAACCCACTTCTACACCCGAAATCCTTGACCGTGCACCATCAACCCTAAACCCCGAGTTGTAAATTCCGAAGCCCCAGGAAGGCACTGTGCAAAAAAAAGAGAAACACTGCACACCCTATTTACCGAACCCCCATCGGTTTAGGGTTTAGGGTTTGGGGCTTAGGGTCTGCCCTAAACCCGGAGCCCTAAACGAGGCAACATCAACATGGCCTCAGAGCTGACCAGGGAAAAGCCCATCCAACTTCATCCTTCTCGGGTGCAGCTGCAAACTGTTATCGAAGAGGTGGGTGGTTTCTGTGTCTTTAAAACGGGCGTTTTGTAGGATGTCATGAATACGGGCCGTACGGTTTTAAGGGGATGAATACTGCAATTCCTTAGGGTTCCATGTATGGTTATGATGCTAGTCCAGTGGGTTCCGCAGTGTACTTGGTTTCGCGATTCCTTCGCGTTCATAGTATAGTTATAGTATGATGTACTTCAAAACCCTATTCTAGCATGTAGCGCCCTCATAACAGGGCTTGGGGTTGGGGTTTAGGGCTTAGGGTTTATGCTTTAGGGTTTAGGGTTTAGGTAGGGCTGTTGGGTGTTAAAGGTCTCATGATTTGACGAACGACGTGCTCGTAATCTTATGCATGCAGGGCTCAGGTTCACCCTAAGCCAACCCTAAGCCCTAAGCCCTAAACCCTAAACCCTAAACCCTAAACCCTCAACCCTAAGCCCTAAACCCTCAACCCTAAGCCTAAGCCCGAAACCGGGTCGGGCCTGGGGATTTTGGGTGTTAAAATAGAGTAGTATCCCTAGGCCCTAAGCCCTATAGTATAGGTTTTAGGGTTTAGGATCTAGGGTTTGAGAGACCCTAAATCCGATGGTGATCATAATAGCCATCGACCCATCTCATCTTCAACATAACCACCGCAACTCTATATGCACAGCTCCCACGACTATCAACATACTATCAGGGAGTGGTAGCCACAGCAGCTACTATCACTACCACTGCCACCACCACCGCCAACAACAACAGCAGCAACAACACCTAGAACTGCCACCACACGAGTATCAGCAACAAAATACTAAACATAACAATAGTAACCAACCCACGACTACCCCCGCCACCACCACCACCACCACCGCCACCGCCAGCGCCAGCGCCAGCGCCAGCGCCAGCACCAGCACCAGCACCAGCATCTGGTGCCAAGTGCTGTCCAGGTACACACCAGCAACATCACCGGCAGCAGTATCTACTTGGGGCATGACCCTGCTGTGTTGGTAGGAGCTCCTTTCATGGAGCAGGGTGCAGGGTGGGGAGATTGAACGTTAGGGTGAGAAAGTAGTATACACGTATTTAATATACCATTATGTTAATTGAATATGAGACCCTAAACCCTAAACCCCTAAACCCTAAACCCTACACCCTAAACCCCTAAACCCTAAACCCTACACCCCCCCTTCTTGCAGGTGATGCTCCTTGTCGGCAAGTCCATACAAGAGCGCATGGGTAAGCTGACAACTGGCCCCGCTGGGCTCGGCATTCGCCCGAAGATCCAGCTCATCAACCAGGCCTACTGACACGTGGGTTTAGGGCTTAGGGCTTAGGGCTGAGGGTTTAGGGGTAGGGTTTAGGGTTTAAGGTTTAGGGTTTAGGGCTTAGGGTAAGGGTTTAGGGTTCAGGGTTTAGGGAGTAGAGGATTGGAAAAGCTACGGGCGCTTGTTTTCTGAATGATGCGATAGTCGGGGCGCTGCAGGCTTTCCAGCCATTGAGCACGACCATCTTGTAGACAACTTCTGGTGCTGCTGTCGATGGACAATATCCTGCGTTTTCCATATTAATTAAGGAGCAGAGTAGAATTCCCACAGAATTGAGCACTTGAGGCCATGCAGGATTTTGTCAAGCCCTAACCAAACCGATGGCACCCTCAAGACTCGCTGCCTTCATCTTGGAAAGGTTTTGGGGCATTTGAAGCACTTGGGGTTGAGGGTATAGGGCCGATAGGGTGTAGGGTTTGGGGCGCCTAGGGTTTAGGATTTCAGTGTAGTAGACAGCATGCTTGAACCTTCTATCGGGGCTTTAGGGTATTTGGGTCGCAGGGTTTCGGTGGACCTCTTGCGGCCAAAAGCATCATAGAACCCTCGGGCACAACAGCAGCTAAACCCTAAACCCCGAAACCCCTAAACCCCTAAACCCTAAACCCCTAAACCCTAACCCCCGAAGGCCCTAAACCCTAAACCCAGACACTCCAAGTTGAGTGCCTTGGGACCTGGGGGGTTACCCCACACAAGTAACAGCCCCGCATACTCCGAAGCCCTTCAGCCCTGCCAGCAGTCTCCCTAAACCCGAAGCCCTAGACCCTAAACCCCTAAACCCCTAAACCCTAAACCCTTAAACCCTAAACCCTTTTGGAACCTCGATCCCAAAATCAAAAACTTGTGTTTTTGGGGGTTCAGGGTTTAGACCCCCAGCCCCATGAACCTCCTCCCACACGCGCAAACCTGAGTGTTCGGGGCCCTCGAGTCCGAACCCTAAGCCCCATAAGCCCTATAAATCCGAAAGGCCCTATAGCCCAGAAGACCCTATAGGCCCTGTAAGCCCTAGACCTGTCAGACACTAGAACCCTAAACCCTAAACCTGTAAGACACTACCCCTAAACCCTAAACCCTAGACCTGTAAGACACTAGAGCCCTAAACCCTAAGCCTGTAAGACACTACCCCTAAACCCTGAACCTGTAAGACACTAGAACCCTAAACCCTAAATCCTAGGCCAAGCCCTGGCGGCTGCTCCCAAAATCGTTTCAGACCCTACCTTAACCCTCCCAACACCTATCCTTTCAGGAGTCTTATAGTAAGGAAATAGAAGGAAATCATAACAAGGAGCCTTAAACCCTAAACCCTCAACAGGTCTCTTAGGGTCCACGTAGACCCCACAGTTTCCCCGCTTCGACTGTTCGACTGTTGGTGTGGTCAGATACGGTCACCTTTGCCGCTTATCGAAGCCGTGACCTGCTTTGCAAGAGGCTTATGGTTGCTTCAGGGTTTCGGGATTCGGGTTCATAAGGCCTAGGGCCTGGTAAATAGAGTAGGGTTCGGGGTGTTGGGCGTTCGGGTTTCTTACAGTTGCAGGTTGTCGGGAAGTAGGGCACATGCAGCTGGAAATATGTAATCTTGTACTTCCCTAAGGCTCATGGACCCCCATAGCGAAAACCCAAACCTTAGCCCCCAAGGCCCAAACCTTCTCCTAGAAAGCCCATAACAGCAACAAGAGCCTTAGGGTAGTTATGCATGCTCCTAACTCCGCATAGCTATCCACCATCAGACGGTACAGCCACCCTAAACCATAGACTAAACCCTAAGCCCTAAACCCTGAAACGTCCGCCCGAAAGAACTGCAGTGCTTCTGCAAAGCCGGAAAGCCGCAGTTGCGCCAACTGGCGGCTTACTGAGTTTTGGGTTAAGGGTTTACCGTACTTGGTATGATAGAAGCCCACTGCATAGCAGGCTATATGCCATGCCAGTCACTAGTCCATGCTGTGATGTTCTATTCTATCCCATTTGGTTCGATTCTATGCTGTTCTATGCTATGTTATGTTATGAACAATGTAGATGCATCTACTGTAGGGGCCTTAATAGTTTGAATAGGGTGTTGGGGCCCATTCTTCCCCAACAGCGGATACGCTTATGG